GCAGGCTGCAGGCTGGGCCTCTGTGCCCTGCTGCCATTGCCCTGGGAACCATGAGGCACCATCTTTTGCCTCTTACCACCAACTGGGCAGGGGACACATGGTGCAGCCAGCACGTGGCTCCTGGGGCAAAGAGAGCAGGGCACAGAGAGGCCGAGCTTGCAGCATGCAGGCCACCTCTGCCTTGTGCACAAATCTGGGGGGCACGTGCCCCTCTGTCCCACAATCCGCCTCAGCCCTGGGGCCCCATTCATCCCAGCCCCTGCCCCACTCCCTCCCTTACCATGGGAGCCTTCATCTAGCCCTGCACCCTTTCTCCACCACACTTACCTGCTGGGCACTGCTCTACTTGCCACTGAGTTGCATTCATGGCCACGTGCAGGCTGTGGCTGCTTGTCTGTGTTTGCGCACCCCTCACCCCCTGCAGCAGTAGCCCGAAGCCTGCATCAGGGCTGCCCTATGGTCCTCTATGCTGCCACCACTGTCCCACTGAGTGGCCTGGAGGTAGTGGTGACAGCAGCAGAGTGCAGCCCAAGTACAGGCTCCAAAACCACGTGCACAATTAATGCATTAAAAAAATTAATGTGAACACCAATTAATGTGTTAATCATGCGTGTTAACTGGGATTGACAGCCCTAGAAAAATAAAAAAAGCACTTATTTTTGCATATTTTAAACTGCACTGTATCAGCTCCTACAATAGAGGAATTTAATGAATATAGGTCATAATGAAAGAATGGAATAATCAGTGATAGGAGAAATGCATCATTTGAAAATTCACCTTACCCATCACACTTTCTGCACTTCCTTCTGGTGTAATTTGCTCTTTTAATCCTTTCTTGTGCTTGTAATATTTTCACTGTTGACAATCTGAAATGACTTGCATGAAAATGATTTACCATGCCTTTGCTTTAAAGGTCGGTAAATGCTGATGCCATGGCATTGTGCATATTGCAGGAATCAGATAGGGACTTCAATTTACATAAATTATAGTCAGGCAGAAGAAGAATATTAATTAAGTTTTTAAATATTGTTAGAGTACAGATATCAATAAAGAAATTCAAGCAGGATGCCCAGTGTAACTCTGTAGTTTAGGACATTATATACATCTGTCTATAAGCTTAAAGTTAACTTAAATCTGCTTTCAATTAAAAATAAATGTTATCATTTTACAATAAGCTATCATAATTTTTAAAATCCAGCTATTTACCTAAATACCAGCCTACATGATTGAATCAGACTGCCTATCTGAGGGCTTCCTGTTTAATTGTACTTTAAAATACTGTAGTATTGCATTTAAATATTTTATATATATTCTCTAAGTAGGAGTACTGGTTAGAATCTTTTATTTACTAATACATGGCAGTTTGTTTAAAACATCATTGACATGTTTTTTTTTCCTATTATGATAAGCTTATCTTCAGCTGTAGAAAATGAAGGATTGAAATTGGCATTTAGTTTTTTTTAGTATTAATAATTACCCTTCTGAGCTATGCTTTCTTAGTTTCTCAGAACTGCAAAGAGAGATAGAAGAATTTAAATCCTCCACAGATAAGATAAACTTCTGCTATGTTCTGGTTTTCTGCATGAATAAATCGAACCAATCATTAACAGCTCTTTTAGGATTTTTGAAAATGTTTTCAGGTACTTTAACAGTACAAATAATAATGTGAAACATATTTAGTAGCTATAATCTTCAATTCTATCCCTGGAATTAATAGAAATAATAAAAACTGAAATGAGAACGGATTTTCATTTGGATTAATGTCAACTCCAATAATCAGGTTTGATTTACATTCAGATTTTAATAAACCAAGAAATTAATGGCTATAAGTAATGTGAAGCTTAATACAGTAATAAGATCATACTGCTATAATAATATCTTTACTTCTAGGACTTTCATACAGACAGATCCCCAAAGCTTCTTGTAGACTGGAGTTTAGAATGGAATGAATCTCTATTCAATTCCTTCATATTAGAATGGAATTAAATTCTATTAATTTCCTCAAATCTTTCTGGTATATAGGGTAAAATGGATTTTTTAAATACAAAGTTAATTGTCCTGACATCAACACACGAAAGGTCTCACACCATATTCTACTAAATCCTTTGCAGCAACAGGTTAAACTTGAGAACTTCCCTCTCTGGAAAGAATACAGATGATAAGATTTTCATGGAACAAGACCATCGTTGTAACATTAAGGAAGTGAAAAGACACCTGTTATCTTCCTGAACAGTTCTTACTGGTCTAGATCCAGTGTAAGATAGTCCCTCTGCTTCCTGTAGCCTGAGGGCTGATATGTCAGGCTAGGAAAGAGTAGAGACATAGAAGTATTTAAGCTCTGGGAATATGTTTAATGAAGACTGAAGGAAAATGAAGGCTCAAGCTCAGTTGACTGATGGGTATGCATCCTCATACTATACAGAGTATTTTTCTCAGGACAGGGAAGAATCTGAGCCCATACACCCAGGTTGCACACACTGGTATTTATTTCAGTGCAGTCTCCAAACAAACTCTCTCTTCTGGAGGAAGGAAAACACATTTCTAAGGTCAAAATGAATTAGCCCATTATCAGTTCACAGAGTAAAAAGTGAGAGATTATTAACAGATGAATTAAGAAACCATTTTAATCCATAGGGGACAGAGTCAAAAAACATTTTGCCATTTTATTTCATGAATCCCACTGATCTTACAAAATGCTGTATATACAAAAATAAACATATTATCTCTGACATGGTAAAGTTCTGGTACAGCTGAGGACTGGACTTTTGTGCTACAAAAATAAGTGCTTTCAAAAGACTTACAGAGTCTTCCATCCAACAGCTGAATTTGTTCTGTATACAACAAATACATCTCCTTGTTTGTTGATCCATCTTGGTTGTCCAGGAACAGCTCTATTAAGAAAGTCAAAGGGAAGCTTGTTCTTGGCTAACCCAGCAGTCACCTGAAAGCCTTATTTACATTCGCTGCATTGTAGGTAGTATGTAGTTGCTGAATTATCCTGAGAACCTGAAGACAAGGGATAATCTATCTGCATACTACCTAACAATGAAAGTCCAGAAACTTCTCCATGCAGAGGTACTGCAGATAATGAGCATGACTCATATCCTAAACAGAAAGTACCTGCCTGCCTTGTATAACTTTTTTAAATAAAAAGGAAAAAGAAAAAAGGAAAGGAGACCCATGAAGAGTATGTATAAATGTAACAAGAGATATAAAAGACAAAAGCGTTACAAAACGGACTTGTCACAATACGTTTAATATAACACTAAGAATCCTCCACATTAATATACAAGTAATGGACTGGGGAAAAAGCTTATCTCTATAACTTTAAGAAAACCCCTCTGTAACAATTATGTTACAAGCAGTATTGCTTTGGATTTTTAAAATTTTAAAGTGTGCTCTTTATTTTTATTGCAGGCTTATAGATACTTTAATTATTCTACAGGTTGTAAAGACAGCTGCTTTAATTATTCTACAGTTGTAGAACAGTTTCAGTTTTGCTGCCTAATTTGTGGCTAAATGGCAGTGTTTGTGTGGGTCAACTCAACTCCTGATTTTTAAGCGCAAATAAAAAAATATTTATTTATAAACGAAACACTTTGATTACTTAAAGAACTAAACCCATTGCAAAGAGAGTAAGTTTGCTATGAAAGCGGTAAATTGCAGAGGAAATATTATATTCTCACTACATTAATAGAGGGTACTCATGGAAACATGATCTTAATCTATTTAAAGCTACTTGCATTTGTACAGAATAGACGCAATCTTAATTGAAAACATGGTAGTGCATAAAATGTATGTAATCTCTGAAATCATACAGGCATTCTTGCAAGTTGTAAAACAAAATTTTGTAAAGTTAAACAACTAGGGGTGAAATCCTGACACTACTGAACTTAATGGCAATGCTCACCCCTTCAAAGGTGCCAGAATATCTTTAGCACACCTAAGCTGCATGGTCCACCATTGGTACCCTGCCAGTGTAACCCAATAGAGGTGAAGGTTAAGTTTGTTAAGGTAGGTGAAACTTTTGAATTTGATCCATGAGTCAGACTGACATCTTTTACAACCTTGCAAAAAGCCTGTATTTTGCTAACAATTTCAAAAAACAACAGTAAAATGTTTTTGCTTTTTGACAAGGATCTTTCTGTCATAAGCTAACATCAAAGAAGTGTTTTGATTTCTTTGTCTGATTAAATTAATTTTGTTACATATAGTAGCAGCTTCAGTACCAACAATTTAAATGCTTGATGTTTTCTTTGCACCTCCTACCATATACATACACATAGCTGCAGTTATTCTAACTTAAAATCTATTTTTTTCTAACCGAAAATAGTAAGTTTCATTTTACTGTTGCAAATCACAATAGTCCAGCAATGAAGTCTTCCAAAAACACAGGCCTGATATTATTTTTATCTTAACTACAAAACAGCTGGACTGGATTTCCTTTACAAAGTTATTTATAAATCCACTAGTGCACTGTGTTTTGCAGCTGAATCCTCTTTGTATTTACATGTAACGGTTTCTAATATACTCTCTGTACATAAGGAAGTCATCCTTTCCAAGTTGCTGCATGATCCCTCTGCCAGCCTGGATGTGAGCATGAAAGATCTCAACTGATTTCCTATCAACTTTAGGAGGCTGAACTTCATAAATGTTGTCTTGGGAAAAAGAGGAGATGGGAACACTGTAAAAGTAAAAAGAAACAGCACAATTCAATCATTAAATCAAAAACCTCAAGAAAGAAAAATAGCTTTATTTCACATCCTTTAAAGATAAATCAGAATTCCTGAAAAGAAAATTTCTTACCTAGTAATTCACTTCCAAAGACTGATACCAGCAGTACAGACCTGTATAGCTCTCCCTGCAAGCTAATGAGGTACAATGCCACTAATATTGACCTTCACTTTCTACCATTAGCCCCACCCTTTTTCTCTTCATCGCTCCTCACATCTGTCATAATCAACCAGCTCCAAAGCTGAAACTTTATAACTTAAATAGTAAGAAAACCTAACTAAACTAGCCATTTAGCCAAAAGTAAAAGAATAAATAACCACACCTGTGGACCCAATCTGTAGAAAGGATTTACCAGGTATGAAGTTTCCAAGACATGAACACACATTCCATGAAAATATTAAACCTGACATAAAGCCTAAGTGACACAAGTATTTTAAGCTTTCATTCTGAGGTCCTAAATTCAAAACACAAGGTTCCCAGCCTTTGAGAAATGAACGCTGTTGTCTGGAAGTTTACATAGACACTGGTTACATATCTGGTGCTAAATAGTGACTCTCTTCTGTTAGCTCCAGCATGAATCAAGTTCACTCCAAATTTAAAAGCCAGACTTCTTAACTGCACCTCTGGGGAACAAAAGACTGAAAGATTCCCTCAAAAATCAGCAATGGTACATGTCAATCCATTGCTATGTAAACAGAAGTTTCTGAGCAAACTCTGAAAGTGATAGTGGTGTATATCATTTTCACTCTGCATGTCAAACACTAGCACCATTAACAAACAGCCCTAATCATAAGAGAGGCATCGTTCATACATATACCGTAAGTTTGTTTTCATTGTTAATATTTATATAATTTGTCATTAAAATAATCCTAGAGTTGACCAGTAAAGAGAAGTTGCCATGGCAGAAAATATAAGAGTTGGGGTTTGGATTTGGTAACAAAACACTCAACAGTTAAAAACATTACTATCTAAATGTAGGCCAATTTATAAAAGACCTCTGTCTTGTGTAAATATTTACTGGAAATAAAATTCTGAGATCAACTTTAGATACAAACTACCTGAGGGAATTAAGAGTCATCTACAATATTTGGAAAAAATTCTCCTGTAACTGCTGAGCAGGATGCAAGCAAATGTTTTGTAGTAATTAGAAATTTGGCACAGAGGCTTCAGGGGGAATTATGGTAATTCTTTGCATCACCAGTTTGATACAGTCTGACTCATATCCTAGAAGACAAAACTGATTTACTTTCTGAATTTCTGTTAAAATGAAGAATGCTGAAGCATCTACTTGAGAAAAAAAAGTGTTGAAAACAACCTGGAAACATCATTTATTGGAACATGATTTTAAGTCTGGACAACTCTTTCATCTCCACTCATACTAAATAGCTTTCTTTTATTTTACCTACTGATAATAACTTTGTACTATTCAATTATTTATACTAACATTTTGGTAACAGTCAGTGTTTGGGCAAGAAAGGTCAGCATGCCAGTGTGTTAGGCAAACAAACATGTAGATGTTTGCCTTGTCCTGGATAGGCAATCATAGCATGATAGGAAAGCATAGCAGCACCATGCTGTCAGAACCAATTGTTTTATTTTAGTGATAAAGCAAATTTGGTATTACCTGTTGCAATATTGCAGTCAATGTCACATTTAGCATTGATAGTGTTGAAGTGATGTTGTAGCTATGATGGTCCAGGAAATATGTGGGAGGCAAGAATTTTATGGGTGATGTCTTTTACTGAACTAACTGCATGGTTGGGATTTAGTGAGGAAAGGTATTGTGATACCTGGAAGCTTGTCTAAGTCTATCCCAACAATGCAGCTGGTCCAATAAAAGATATTACCCACAAAAATCCCTGCTTCTTACATGTTCAGCATTATTATTTGTAACATAGTCTTATCTGGAAAACCCAGTCATGGTACTGGGTACTGTGTAAAAACAGAAAAAAATACTCTATTTTCAAAAAGGAAAATTAAAAAAAAAATCCTTTGGTCCAGGTTCCACTGGGCACAGTGAAGTGGGTATAACCTTTGAAGGAATAAATGTGGTTCACAGACTTACAGATGTTCACGATATAAATGAAGAGTGCGCATAGGCTGTTCTAATCCATGGTAATTGGATACAGACCCCAAAGGCTGTCATACTGCTGAGAAAAGCTCGGCTCAGCAGTCCATGCTAACTTCACTCTGTGGGCTAGTGTAGAACTAGACTCTGACCTTGCCCTCCCCTTCTCCTGTGGTTAACTGAGCCTGCAGGAAGATAGGAATCTATCAAGTAGCAGAACAGCAAAATGTAACATCCTTGCACGCACACTGAACATCTGTGCAAGGAACAACCACAATACCATTTTAAGTTAGCAAGTCAATACAATAGAAGTGGTTCAGAAAAGGTCTTGTAGAACTAGACCTTTTCTGAAGGGTATGTGTGTGTGTGTTATTTTAATTCATGAATAGCCAAATGTAGAATTAGACCTTTTCTGAACCACTTTAGAAGTCCTTAAAATAAACAAGACAAATGGATTTGGGGAATCTTATTTTCTTGTGAAAATCAGCTTTAATTTCAGATCAAAGTTCTTTCCAGAAAGAATAGGGGGTTTTTAGATTAATATTTGGAAAAATTACCTGGTTCTGTCCAAAAGGCATCTGTGTTATTAAAAGTGTATTTCCCAATACTCCAATTGCTCTTAATAGCATTAAAAAAATTCTACTTTCAATCCTGGTTGCAGCCATAGTGTAGAAAATGAATGCTACGTGTTAAGAGCTAACAGGAATTTACTGCAATTATGAATATATTTATAGCAGGCATGCAATATAGCAAAAAGGTTTTCTGCAGTCTTCTTTAAATGCTCTTAGTCATGCTGTTCCATTCAATGTACAGGCATGAACTAATGTTTGAGTTAGTCTGCAAACCATGATCTCTATTAAAACCAAGAGAAACCTGCTCCCTTATTTTATTTTACTGTGGTATCATGATAGATGTTCAATGTTAGTTACATTATGCACAACTTCTCATATGTGTTATAAAGGCACTGCACAATCTAGTTCTGATGCAATAAAGAATATTGTGTTTCTTTTTCATATTAAAAGTAGTAACATTTTGTAAGCTTATGTCTGTATTAATTCTTTCAAACTCTGAAACTGGTGTTTTAAGTGACCTGTAACTCAGTTAATACATCTAGACTATTATAATAAAATTACCTACTGCTTTATATATATGGACACTAATGTATTACAGTAAGAGGCATATTTTAGAAGAATACACATGAGCAAAGTACTGAACCAGATAATATTCATGTGATAGCCAATATTGAGACCATTCTATAACTGAGACCACTGTAATTTTGAAAGCTGTAGGAATAAAAGGATCAATGCGATTGATTTACGGCAGCTCAATTTCAAAGGACCTTTGTGCAAGGAATCATTTGTTCACAGCAAATTCCCTGGAAAAGGTAGACAGAGAACAAGTCCAATGACCTAAACCACCAAATATCAGAGGCATTTTCCAAACTACTTGGCTTTTTTTGCTGTAGTGACAATCATTTGTTGCTGAAAGGATAAAAAGCAGAACTTCTCACCCTCATCCTGCTGTTGACATTCTATGGTTATCACTACAGAAAGCATATTCCTTCAATCTCTGTTGTCTTGGTCTTCAAGATTATGACAAGGAGATATGAAATTCATTTCTGACAACAATTCAATCACAGTTCAAAGCCAAAGTACTTTCCCTGATGCAGAAGAATATATCAAACTTGGCAACAGACATACTAAGAAACCGATTTTGCTTGTAGTACTTTGGAAGAGTGTGAAAGTCAAGTACTAGCTGTTCTCTCTTAGATCCTTATGACAATAAGGCCCTGAACCTGCACGTATTTTTGAATGTGCACAAGTTTAACTACATGAGCAATCCCCCAGACCTCAACTGTAATATAATAGGATCGTTTTACTAAAATGTTACTGGGATAATTTTACAATAAGCTAAAAAAGCAAATCTTTGGTTTAAAACAGGTGTTCAGCCAACAGAGCCATGTCATCTGGCCCGCAGGGCTCCTCATGGGTTCAAAAAATTCAGTGGGGAAGCGGTGGCAGCATTAATTGCTGTTCCCTCACTGTCAAGTTTCCAAACCCATGGGAGCCCTGAAGGCCAGACGTGTGGCCCTGAACGCCAGGTCAGACATTTGAGGCCGGAGCAACAAGAAATGAGATCCAGGTATGAGAGCCCAACCAGGAGGCACAAGGCAGTATCCAGGTGCACAGGGCTGCATCTGGGTGCCAAGCCTGCAGATTCAGCCTGCCGACCAGCCCCATGCCAGCAGGGGCAAAGGGCTAAGCACTACTGATTTAAAGCAAAAGACCAAGTACTGTAACAAAAAAGTCTTTCCAAGCCAAAATTTCAAATAAGATATCAACGAGCCTTTTAAATAAGAGAATGCAAAGAAGAAAATAAGTAGTTGTTTTTGTACTGTCTTCATGAAAAATATATTAAAACTCTTTACAATATAAAGGAGAATATAAAAGCTGCCCAGATTAAAATGAAATAATGTAGAGGAGATTTCTATAGCCAAATTCTACCCTCAGTTACATCACTACAACTCCTATGAAGTCTTAACATTTTTAAAGGTAGAAGAGAGCAGAATACTTCTTAGCAGTCTCATTCTGCAAAATGGAAAACAAATACATGCACACTTTTTCAAAATGATCGTGTGTCCATGATAACCCGCCCTCCCTCCCAAATATATGCACATCATTTACTTATGGCTCTGTTCAGAGCTGCTATTGACTGACTACATTAAAAAGTGCCGCATCTCTTTTAGGCTAAGTATAGACAGTCAAAAAGCCTGAGGCTGAATCGATTCAGTCTTTGTAGGTTTGTCTAAACTGCAGAGATTAAACTGACAAGCAAGTGAACAGACATTCACTTTTGATTCCAGAAATTCAGCTACAGGCCTC